TTGGGTGAGAGCCATTAACGCCTTTGACTCCAGTTCACACTCAAAAGGAAGCAGGAAGGGCTGAGTTCCAGCTACTGGGGGTCTGGGGGGGAGGGGGCTGGTTTCAACTTAGACTATTTGGCATTCTTTCTAAGGAAGATTAGCCTCTGCTCCCAGGCTCATGTTAGAGACCCACAGAGTGGCCCCGTCCAGAGGGGCCTCCGGGGCTGAGGGGGCCCAGGTGTGAAGGCAGGCGGCCAGTGGGGGGTCAGGGGGAGGAAATCGGGTCCCCAGCCCCGTGCCCCCCTAAGCTGCAGCCCAATCGGCAGGTCGGGGCGGCACTCTGGGGTGCGCTCCCATTTTACAGAAGTGCTGCCCGCACTGGAGGCGTGGTGACGCGGGTGGCCGAGCAGGATTCCGGGGCGCGGCCGGCCGGGGGACTGGGAGGCTGGGCCGCTGCCTCCTTAAAGCTGGGCGCCCGCGACGGTGAGCGACCGGCGCTTTGGCAGCTCCTGGGGCCGTGGCCCACCGGCAGGTGAGACGCCCCCGGGGAGGGCTCTCTGCCTGCCCTGGTGACCCACTTCCCTGTTTGTTTGGGCCGCGAGGGTGGGAGGCACACAGGGCGGGCCACCGGTCCTCGCTGATCCTGTGATCTCAGAGTTGAAGTAGGGGCTGGCGCCCCCATCCACCCTGGCAAGGGACTGCAGGGACCTGCGGTGGGTGGGCAGTGAAGTTGAGGGGCAGGTCAGACAGGCCACAAGGGCAGGGCCCCCACTCCCCAAGCTCCTGCCTGCCTGTCCTCAGGGGCTGTGGTCACTCGGAGGGCCTGCCTACAGCTGCCGAGGAAGTGAGGGTCCAAACTCAGTGGTCACGTTGGTGGGTCACCAGCTGCCTCCTGTCTGGGTTCCTCCTGCAGGGATGGGGGTTAGCGAGGAGGGGAAGGTGTGGGCTGGACTTCCTGGAAAAGGGGGACCCTGCCACATGGGGGAGGGGGACACACATCCAGAGCTTGTCAAACACACAATCCACAGCAGACACA